CAATCGACGGTAAAAATCTAAATATTGGATTAAATCACTAATAAGACCGGTTGTACAAAAGGTGGCTTTCATGGCCCAAATGGTCTAGCAAATAACGCTTCGGCGTTCGGGATTAAAAATGTAATGAAAACAAAAAAGGACAAGAAGTTCGGTTAAAAACACAACATAGTAGTGTAGATCGGAATTAAAAAAGTAGAAATAACATCAGTAAACAGGAAAATTGTATTAGAAAGGTAAAAGGATAATCTGTACTCATAGGACTAACCTTTTATGATGGCCATGGTGGAGACAACGGCTGGACATATTTCCTTTGAATACATAGTATTGCATTAAAGCTTTGAGATCGCTAATGCTTCAACTCTGCCCAGATGTTACAGGATTTCATCATGAGCTGACAATGGTTAGAGAACCATTTGAAAACCAACGAGGAATGCTGCCAAACAGCTGTTTCGTCCTATTTTGAGACTCTTCATCGGTACACAACCACCAAGATTCGAACCCAGGACCTTCTGGTTACAAGGCGAGCTAGTATACCATTAAGTCACTGGGACCCGATCCAATGGCTTTCCCATGAATTCTAATTTCTGTCAATTCACGATGTAGCGCGACCCCTAGCCAATATTTTTGGCGAGTATTTGTCCTCACACCCAACCTGCTGCATCCTATTGATCACGACATCTCACTAGAACCCCAGGTAACTACCTACCTGAATAGGGTAGGTCGCCAGTGAGCATCTCATTCATATTCAAGTATTGGTTTGTAGTGATTTGATTGATTGGTTACAGGATTTCATCATGAGCTGACATTGGTTGGGGAACCATTGGAAAACCTGAAAGTATTGGACATGGATGAATAGCGGTTGCGCTTTATCGTGAATTAGCAGAAGTTAGAATTCATGGGCCATTGGATCAGGCTCCAGTGGCTTAATGGTCTACGATCTCGCCTTGTAACCAGAAAGTCCTGGGTTCGAACCTCGTGGTGTGGGTTCGTACTGTTGAAGAGTCTCAAACTAGGACGAAACAGCTGTCCAGTACCTCTAGCTGGTTTCCCAGTGGGTCTCTAACCAATATCAGCTCATGATGAAATCCTGTAACCAATCAAATCCCTACAAACCAACACTTATATATACTCAGAGGTCATGATCTCACTCTCTCTAAGAAGTTTGATCGGACCTTGTGTATGACTTTGAAGGACATTTCAAAAAGAGCTGGATGTTCTGAGTTCATCAGATGTTCTGTTGCTGAACTATATAAACACTTTTGTTCTCCCTTTGATAGCCAGCTAGCCAGCCTGGATAGCGTTTTACAAACAGACCCGTGTTATGGTCAATGTACTTAGTTCCGAAATAGCCAGTGAACTCATATATACTTGTTGATATGACTCATCTTTAACATACTGATGGAATAGTTTCTTGGAAGAAAATGTCACTCGTAGACTGTCGGTGAAGTGTGTTTTAGTGAGAGATTTCGAAAGTTGTATATGGAGAATTTCCGCTTCAGTATCACTCTTGAATTCGAGATGAAGCATCAGCGTCTTTTGAGAGGGGTGTAGGCGACTTGAGCCTGCTCAGACGTTTTCTTAGGCTTCAGATTCCTGAATCCATCAGGATTCCTTGGAGATTTTGCAGTTATACTCAAGTGAACTATTCAGTAAATGCTTTCCGGATCCTCGAGGAAAGAGATTATAATGAGCTTTCTCTTTCTCCCTAGTGGAACACAACTTTGAAAACTGATGAACTGACTATTCCATTCGGGCATTTTGTATATGGATCTCCTTAGCGAGTTATCAGCATATCTTAGGAGTTGAACATCCAGGAAATGGAAGTCTGGGTTGTATTCAACTTCTGGAATGAAGTCGATGTTTCGGTGGGCATTACTGAAGGTTTGGAGTAGGTTTCTGTCATTCAAATTCTCATCGCGAATAATGGAAGTGTATCTCTTCTAGAAATGGAGCTCATTCATAGGTGATGATAAGAAAATGTTGCCTTCGATGACCATAAAACAATCGACCAGCTATCTGGTAGTACTCCTTGGTGGTTCTTAATATTTCTATTACTGATATCAATTCGTGATCAAACTCAAAACAAATCCAATCCCCACAAACACCCTCACAAAATGGTATTGTAGAAGTGACTAACCTAAAATGACTCCTAGGTTCACGATTACAAGTGAAGAGGTTGACTAATTACTCACTTATTCGGGAGACTGCGCCAATCTTAATGTCCTGACTCCTGGCCAAAAAATACCTAGCACGGATACAAAAGGCCGGTGTAGTATTTCCCAACATACATCATTTCTGAGTTAGACGCGATTTTAAGACAGACTAACGGTTTTCTGACCATAGCTGACCGCATCCTATCTCTCCTTTCAAGTGGTATAAAATGATAAATAATACAGAGGTTAAGCCTCTCATAGTGTTGGGTAAGGAGGGTATCAGCTAACTATTCCAACGTCTGTTAACTCCAAGCTAGACTCTACTAAGATGAACAGCTTCTTATCAGGAATCAGCAAATGGTCTTCGTCTAATGGCCTTAAACTAAATCCTTCCAAATATCAGACTGTTAATTTCAGTTTCCGATATAAACCAAATCTAAATGAATTTTAATTTTTTTTTTAATTTAATTAATTTTTGACTACAGCTTGATTCCACACCGTATTTTTGGTACAAGTATGGAATTTTCAGCATGGATATCGGTAGCCCAAATTTCGCAGGCCGACCATAGATATCAGGTGTGCGTCGGCGAGGGCTCGAACCCGGGACCATGTGCATGGTCGGCGAGAGTCCTTACCACTGTGCCACCGACGCACATTATTATTATAAAATCATAGAAAGGGGAAAAATAATAATAATGATGATGATAATGGCAAGGAAATCAATAAAGATAGAGGGATTATTTTTGGGTAATAGGCAAGAAATCATAAAAGACTATTCTGACGATCAGACAGATAGCCGACAGGAAAGGATAAACCATATTTGGCCTGTACAAACAAAACTGACTGACAACCTGTCACCCAGTGAAAATGAAAAAGGAAATCAAGACGAACCGGACGAACCAGTTGAATAGAGAACATTGCCTGATGAACTTTTTTTAAGTATGCGGACGATCTAACTATTTCAATGTTTGTTAACTGCAAGCTAGACTCTACTAAGATGAACAGCTTTCTATCAGGAGTCAGCAAATGGTCTTCTTCTAATGGCCTTAAACTAAATCCTTCCAAATGTCAGACTGTTAATTTCAGTTTCCGATGTAAACGAAAGTTAAATGAAGCTGTTGGTTCCTATGACCCTTGCAAAATTGATGACATTGATATAGAAATCAAGTCTGAAGTTAAGTATCTTGGGGTAATTCTTTCTTCTGACCTGCCTATTCTGGTCTTCCCATGTCTTAGGGATTTCTAAAAGAATATTTCGTCTGACTTTTTACATTAAGAAGTTAAGGCACTCAGGTATAACCCAACCACTCCTCCTCTTACAGTTTGTCAACTTGTGTATTTCACCTATTCTTCTTTACTGTTCACCCTTGCTTATTCTTTCCTGGATTGCTTAAAAAAGACTATATCATACTTCGTAGAACTCTGAAGACTGTCAGTAGGGCGAATGGTATCCCATTGGGCCATATCGCTGACATTATCATTGATGATAGGCACTTGATGTCATGCAGCAAATTTGCTAAAGGAATTTTGTCAGACTCTGAGCACCCACTCTACCTACAGCTCCAACCTTCTGTCTCCTCTTCAGGTAAAACCAGAAGTCTTTTCAGAAGACTCCATGCACGTACGTCTAAGTATAAAAATTCCACTATACCATATTTGGCGGCAAGTACTTTATGTGATGAAAATAGTGTTAGGCATGAATCAGCTAACCTTCTTTGCACTAGTAAATAAACCATTTCCTCCGCCCCTGTAACATCAACCTTTTTTGTTGTTGTACTTCTTTCATTTATAATCCTCTCAGTTATTTCGTTTTTATTTGTTTATTTTTTCATAGGTGTGAACATCATTTAAGCTGTGTTATAACTATTAATTTTGTCTTTCCCCTCTCCATCGTATATCATAGGAACATTAGATCCAATAATCTTTAACATGCTAAAATTTTCAAATTGAATCGACACAACTGTTTGAAACAAACTCATTGTTATTATTATTATTAATATTTAATATACAAAAGCTCAAACTCACGCTTTGTATACAAAAGAAATACGTCCAAACCCTGTCCCTGCCATGGGAATCATAGGCAGTTAATTTTTTTTAGTAATGAACATCCCATCGCCTTTCTTATCTAAACTTCCTTTTTATTCATGCTATTTTAAGTTTTTCTTAATCCCTGTTTACACTACCATATTTTCATACCCGAACTTCGCGTTTATTTTGTCATTTTACTATTTCTACATATTTAATCCCTGATTGCATAAACAATTATTCATCACATTAGTTCTTATCCAAACATCCTGTCTATTTTGTTATTTCTACATTTCTAACCCCCAAATGCACAATGTCAATCTTCTTAGTTATTATGATGCTACTTTGTTTGTTTTATCCACCCCCCTGTTTATTATGGCATTCTAATTCCTAATTTTAATTTTTATTAATTTGACCCTTGACCGGAAATTATTCTGGAACTTTCCCATCCATTTGATATAAATACACAAATGTACAGTCTAGATGATGACTTCGTCGAAAAGAAAATTTTCTTCGCTGCAATTGTCTTCTTAGTAACTCCTATGACCCAATGTGTATATTATTATTATATTTAATGATCTGAATTCGTGCTTCGAATATTTTTGACTTTATAACGTAAATGTGGAAAACTTCACCTGGAAAATTTTAGTTTAACTTTTAATTTTACTTACATTTTAAGTAAATCAGATGGAATATTGTGACAAATGCTGAGAATTCCATTCTGTATTACAAGTACTGTTTTTGGAATTAAGTAGATTATTATTATTATCAAGTCAATCGATAAGATTGTAACAATCATAATAATAATAATGATATCTGAAATTATCTTACATTATCCTCAGGAGATAAACAATCCATTGATACATCGACGAATTTTCTATGCGCTTCTAAATATTCCTCATAAATATTTTTCACTCTTGACGAAAAAACTTGTCCACCGATTCCAAGTACTTCAACTTTTTCTAATCGATTATATTCCATTAAAGTTTTGTAATAAATCTAAAGTTAATAATAATAATCGTAGTAATGATTAAAATCGGATGAAAATGAAAGTAAGTGAAGGGTGTTCTCAAGTAGAGTATACCAAACAACTAACAACTAAATTTGTAATTGCTATCCTCTTAGCTCCTAGACTGTACATCACTGCATCTAACATTTTCATATCATCGTGCTCTTGAGAGCATCTCCCACTATGACTAAGTAAAGGTGTAGTGAAAACCATCAACCATTCGATATTGGACCATCTGGTGCAAACCGGCCACAAAGCCAGCCAGCGTGGAAGAATCCCTCTCTATCATCTACCGGGTGCCTAATTAATTGCAAAAATCATCATCGAAGCACCACATGCTCCAAACAGCAGAGACTATTGCAATTCGCCTTAAACAAGTGGTGCTCTGTGCGCAGAAGAAGCAAGTTCAGCCACTACTGCCTCCCTGGCCTTCAGTAGAAACTATAAACTCATGAATTTGTACTATTATCTTTCCTAATTCTTCTGACATTCAGCTTATTTTATGTTGATGCTAGTGAGCTGTAATCTATCAATATTATTGATTCTATGTGATTTAAACAAAATTAATGTTGTTCATAACACTATTCCATTCATTCTCTATAATGTATGTATATCTGTAGAGCCTGATGAAGAATAGGTTATCGAAAAGAGTACTCTTTGTTCAGTAACCATTCTTTTGAAAATTTTTAATGAGCATTTTTAATCAGTTCATCCTTTATTATCTATCCTTGTTCCTGTTCAATCTATGGTTATGTGACGGTAGTAATAATGTGTGTTGTTTTACGACGAAGTCATTTTGCTTGGGTGAATCAGGGTAGCTTTAAACTTGGACTGTCTGTGAACGGGAATCGTTGGTGTGTGATTCTTCCGGTGGGCAGAATTTTCCATCCCACCATCTTGGAAATATTCTGCCTGATTCTGAGATATTTCTTTTCACAGTTGACTTCTAGTTAACTAATTCTGTTTCTTCACTACTTGTTTTGTACATAAAACGTATCTGATATGTGTACATATATATCTGACTAACGGAATTTTTGAGGTAATTTTTGGATTTTTGTTAATTTTAGTGTCATTGTTATAAATAGTAGCGTCGATTTTATCTCAAATAACTGGGGTGTTTCTTCTTTGCAATCGTTGGGGCATTTTGTGTTTCTGCATAATTCAAAGAAGTTCAATCTAGGCATGCTGTAGAATGCATAGATTGGTTTCCAGAATTCAAAACATAAGTATTTGATTTCCGTCGTTGCCCAAAAAGGTAAATTTGTTTTGTAGATTGATTATGTACTAAGGAACGATTCTTATTGTAGCACTGTTGTATTCGTGTAATGATATGAGTAATGTATTATGTAGATATTTAACATCAAATTACGAATTGGTAAAATGAACTCCTATACAAAGTCTGCTAACTAAGTTACCATCCAACAAACCTGGTCAGGAGGATACAATCACCAGGCTGACCAACTTATATATGTGGGTAGCATAATAATAATAATCGCTTCATTCTGAACAAATAATGATCATTATTATTATTTAATTCTATTACTTTCTTTAATTGCTAGAGAAACATATGCTTTCAGCTGCGCGTCTCCATTGTGTTCGGTTCCCTGCTAGAGTTTTCACCTGGCTTCAAGTCTGAGCATATGTTTTCATCTTCCCTTCACATGACCTCCTCCATGTCACCCTCGAACTGACCACCAACTCAACGCTTCCCATTTGGGTTCTACTTGAGCTATAGCCTGTCGTGTGATGTCACTTGATGGTTTCCTCAGAGTATGGCCAGCCAATCCACCTTCATTTCTTCGTGCATATTTGTTGCACAATCACTTCCGGGTTGGTTCTCTCCCAGAGATCCCTGTCGCTCATCGTTTCTGGCTTACCATCTCATCTTGAGTATTGAGCGAAGACAGTTGTTGATGTTAGTCTGTAGTTTGTTCGAAGTGCCCTTCGTGACGCGCCGAGCGTCTGATCCATATAGTAAGTAGCACTGACTTCACATTGGAGTTGAGAATCCGTATCTTGATTTTCATTTTCATTCTGAGTTCTGTTGACCTCCATACAGACTTGAGAGTAATGAAAGCATGCCTTGCTTTCCCGATCCTCACTGCTTTGATATCCTCGTCAGTTCCGTCCGTCTGTATTTGAAACGATGCTTTCCAGGTGGGTAGGTAGGTAGGTAAAGGAGGTTGTTTCTTTCAGATTCCTCCCATTCATGCTGGCTGATTGTTGTCTGTTGCTGTTACTGCTGTTGCTGTTGGCCAGGAACCTTCATCACCTCTGTTTTCTCTATGTTCACCTGAAGTCCTATCTTCTCAGGATGCTTCTTCTATCACCAATTTATTGCTTTTCACTTGCATATCTTCCTGTTTGTGGGAAATCAGACAAATATCACCGGCGAAGTTCAGACCCTCCAAGTTTTTTGTCTGAGTCCCTTCTCTGTCTGTCTGTTACATTATCCAGTCTACCACAATCAGGAAAATCATTGGAGAAATCAATGGGCAGCCTTCCTTGTCTTACTCCCGTCTTCACTTCGAAGGATTCCGTGAGTTTCCACTGTGGGTTATTTGGAATGCAGCATTTTTAACAACTGTTGGATTAGGTGTATAATTGTTTGAGGCCCCTTTGTAGTATCTAAGTTGTTTCTAAATCACTTCTTGATCGACGCTGTCTGCTGAAGGCCTTTTCAAAGTCAATGAAGTCGAAGTAGATAGCTGACTACCATTACAAGCTCTGTTCAATGACAATACGTAGTATTGCGATTTGATCGACGCATTATTATTATTACTACCACATATATTATTTGTTTATTATTCATTATGCTCCAGTAACTTTCATTTACATTGTCCGGGAACCGAACCTGAATGAAGCGTTTAACAATAAACCCGAAAATAGTCGAAAACCAAAAAATAAAATACAGAAAACATTCTTTTCGTTTTATTTTTCTTACCTTAATCGCTTCTAACCGTTCAATAAATATATCGAAACGATTAAATACCCATGCAGAATGAAATGACCATTCTGATGGTTCTACGCCTTGTTCTTTACACGAGTCTTTAACATTTTTACGATAATCTTCAACAACATTACGAAAATGTCGCAGGACACTGAGAGATTTATTAATTTTAATTAAAGCTTCATCTGGATCATCTTTAACTATCTCAGTTGGATCTAAAAATTGTCGACACTAGTTGGGAAAAAACAAATAGAAAATAAACAAATCAATAAGCAAGCGCGTAGTAGAAAGTACTTTAAAGCCCTTACTTGCAAAGATCGATGAGTCCCTCCTATGTATGTGTGACCATATCCACACTCAAACTGGTAGATGATATAAAGTGATCGGAACACCAAGACCCATTCTTTAACTCACCGCTAAGAATGACGTATATATATCAAGCTCTCCTACATGGGTGATCATATCAGACTGATAACTAGACAAAGGATGGACGTGGTAGATAAAGAGAATTTTTATGCAGTTAACATCTGAATAACTGAGCATGTGAAGCCTATGCATCATGCATAGACAATATAAGTATTATCGTGACATCCGGCTATCAACCAAGGGACTTGTGTACTGCTCAGCAGTTCGCTCCGTCCTTGTCTATGGCTCTGAAACATGGCCAATACGAGTTGAAGACATGAAAAGGTTGACTGCTTTCGATCATAGATGTCTGCGATCTCTTTCTCACGTTAGGTGGTTTAATAAGGTAGGTAATATTGACGTCAGGCGTAGAGTGTTGGGCAAAGAGGGAAAATCAATCGACGAGACTATAAAGTTACATAGATTGAGATGGCTAGGTCGGTCACGTAGTGCGCATGCCTAACCATCGCCTCGCCTCCCCCGACGGGCATTACTAGCTGATATAGGTGCAGGTTGGAAAAGAGCCAGTGGTGGCCAAACAAAAACATGGCCTCATCAATCCCTGAAATCCTTCACAGTCCTTGACTGAGTCAGGTAGGGAGATGCAGACTTCCGGGTTGGGGTCTTCGGGACTCTATGAATCAATGGCTGGAGACAATAGGTGACATGGCTCAAAATCGTTGTTAATGGCCAGCGCAGATGTATTCAGTCTCTGTAATCTTTCATATTCCTTTCTACCATTACCCATCCTGTTTCACTCTCATACTTGTCAAACTCTATTGATTCTCTTCACTCATCTTCTTGTCTACCTTTGTGTGGTATTTGGAACGTGGCAACTAGAACTGGTGCACTTCGGTGCCAAGTTCTATGTTGAATCCAGACAGACAGCGACATAAGTATTATCGACAAAAAGTATATATTCAATTATTGGCTTGTATCGATTTGATTCATTGGACGCAGGATTTCATCATGAGCTGGCATCAGTTAGAGAAACATTGAAAAATCTAGGAGTACTGCCAGACGGCTCTTTCGCCCTAGTTTGGGACTCTTCGTCAGCACTAACCCATCGACAGGGGCTCGAAGACAGGACCTTGTGGTTGCAAGGCGAGACCATTAATCTACTGGGACTCAATCCAATCGCCAGTCCATGAATTCCAACTTCTGCCAATACACGACATAGCGCGACCACTAGCCAATGTCATCGGTGGTGAGTATTTGTCCTAACACCCAACCTGCTGTACCCTATATGTATGATTGATTTTTAGTTCCCTCTTTTTCCATCGCTTATTATGTGCTTTATACTACTAGGTGGAAAGCTTGTGCATCCTGATATCCATAACTAGGATCCATGCCAGAAAGTCAAACAGTCTGGAAGACATCATCATCATCAATCACTACCTTTTATGAAAAGTATTATGTTTAGAAATTGATAAACTAATACACTGTACTTCGTTGGTCTTTAGTTCTTATTTCATGCAAAAGAATATTTTGTAAACTGTAAGGTAAAGTACATTCGGAAATAAGATGTGAAATAAGATGTTTTTATAGTAAAATAAATAACTTGTTAGCATGTTACATAAGGCATCTACAGCTTTACCAATATAAGAAGGGGACATCTGAGACCCTCTCCACCTAGGATTCTCAATAAAGCAGGAATTGGGGGTGGCATTTAAACCTACAAACTTACTCAGGTAGGACAAGCTTTGTAGGTTGAAAGACCCTGTCGGTTGACCCAATTAGATAAAATAATATAATTTACAAAATACCTTGCAATGACTGTGAGTTAGGTCAACTACATAGGTCAAACTAGTAGGTTGAGGGTGGTCAGAGTGCATGTCAGAAGATAAGAATTTAGCTAAGGTTGAACTGGTTGACCTCACTCGCGAAGACAAGTAATTTAGAAGAAAGCTCAGCGATTGCACTGCATGCATGCATTGACAAACAACCACACTATAGCATGGTGGGAAGGAGAGGGTTAAAATTCTAAAAAGTAATATAGTTAGGTGGAGAGTTAGAGAGAGGTTGATCATTGAATCCTGCCTGGTTCATCGAGTCTACATCCAGGACGTGCAATAGGATGCAATGACTCATCACTCATACCGGAAATATGCAAAATACTACTACTACTGATCAAGTCATGCGATGAAAAATAATGGATGGATCTGATTTTTGTTACCCTAGGAACCATACTGAACCCAACGTTTCTCATTCTAGCTCCACTAGACGGCCTGTCTCCTGATGTCACTCAATGTTTCCGACCCATCTCCATTCCCCTCTGCATATTCGTTGGGCGATAGATTCTTGATTACTTTGTTCCTAGAGTTCCTCAATGCTAATGCTTCCCAGCAGGTCACTTCAACTTTAGGATTATCCAGCGGAAGCAGCTATTGAAAATTCTACAGTTGGCTGTTTAAAGTGATTTCATGACTCTTCAATTCTCCAAGACACATGGAAGCATTGAATTTGCGTCAATGTTAAAAATCTAAATCTTTTTACTTATTCTGAATGAAAGAGATTTCTTGAATGGTTCTAGATTAATGAAGGTCTGACTAACTTTTCCAGTGATGCTTTTGATATCTTCATCTCTTCCTCCTAGAGTTGAAACGATGCTCTCTAGGTCAAGCAAGTGAGAGATTTGACTTCCTTTCGATTTCCTCCATTGACAGTAACTGGTAATTATTATTACTACTGTTATTATTGGTTAGGTATCTTCAACACCTCTGTCTCCCCTAGTTTCACTTGAAATCTTGTCTTCGTTGCCTGCTTCTTCTGCCCACGTTTTGGTATTCGCCCGAAGACCTTCCAGTTTATGTGACAATAGACATAGATCATCCACGTAGTCCAAGTCTACAGGAATCTTCTTGTTAGTCCAACGTATTCCTCGCTTCTCTCTCTCTCCACAGTCTTTCGAATAGTTCAGCCCACCACAAGTAGGAATGTCGTCAGTGACGGTAGGTAGTCCTGTTTTACTCCTAGAAGACCCTAGTAAAATCGCTTGTGGTTTAAAAGTACCAGCTCAACGTCTAGATACTTCATCTACGTATCAAATTATAGATTTTACTCTCACTGAACTGACAGATTTTTGGCGTAATTGTGAAATTTTTCAGTATTAATCTAACCTGGCCTCTTACATGAGATAATATCCAGTGGTCCCTGGTTTTCAGTAGTTCTCTAACTGATACGAATCCATGATCACACCAGGAAAAAACCAAATCCCTTAAAAATGACTCTTGAAAATTATTGTGATGCTTGCTAGTGATTTGCTGGTTATAGGACGAAGTCACCTGGAGTTCTAGTGACAAGTAGGGTCCATTTGATTAGAACTGAGGATAAATACTCACCACCGATGACAATGGCTAGCGCCAGTCTTACTCAAATTCCGAAATAGTAGAAGTTAGAATTCATGGACTGGTCACACAGTCGGGTCCCAGTGCCTGAATGGTCTACAAGCTCACCTTTTAACCAGGAGATCATGGGTGTGAACCCATCTGGTGTGTGCGTACTGATGATGGGTCCTTGACTAGGACGAAAGAAATGTCCAGTACTCTCTGATTCTCGAAGATTCTCTGACTTGACTAGTAACTCTTAGGATATTCATGAGAATTTACCAGGCGACAAGATTTCATCGTAAACCTAGTCATATTTCAGTAATAATAAGATCATTTCTCGAAACGGAATGACTTAGGCGATCACGTTATTACTGTTTTTTACTTTTAATGATCCTCTCCATTATGATGAGTATCTTTGTCGTGTAACTTCACGCCACTCTTTGTTCGCTGCAAATTCCATCACATATATAGCTTTTTGGTTGTTAAGTAGGGTATTTCCAATATAACGGACAAAATCATGAACTGAATAACGGGACCCACCACTAAAATCCTTTTCACAATGTATGCTACTTATAAGTAGTCTAAAATTATCCAAACATTTTCCCATCGATTTATTGGACAGAAATACTTGGTCTAATTAAATGCCCGGATATCGTCGAAGCATTCGCACAAATAGCCGGCATGTCAACCTGAGACCGAGAATTTCGGTCCAATCAATCGATGGGAAAATTTTAAACTGAATTAAATAATTAATAAAACTAGTTGCATAAGAGATGGTATCACCATGCATGGTATTCCTAATTGTAATAGATTCGACTATGCGAAACACTTTGCATTAGGAGTGAGAGACAAGAATACTTTGGTCTTATAAGAAGACTCTGGAAGATTTGGATTTCCCAGATGATTTATGTCATGCAGGCGAAAACCAACAAATTGGTAGATGAGTCAGGCAACAAAGACAACACTTCAAGAGTACATATGGAAGACGGAGGTGATGGAGCTAGCCAACCAACCATCATCAGCAACATCTGAAAGAGGTCACATCTTTCAATTATGTAAGAAGCACCGTTTTTAACTGCAAGCGACAGCATGCATGAGGATGTCGAAATCAGAATCTAACAGGAAAGGCGGATGTTCATTACTGTGAAACTCTTAGGCTCTTAGCATAAACAACAACAGACTTCAAGCGCGTGCCATGAAAAGTATTTCCAACAGCCGGCTACAGAATTTCATTAACAGCTGTCACCTTCGCTGGCTTTATACTGAAAATTTATTGACGGCCAGAAAGAATTAAGAACAATAAAACTTTGACAGTATAACGAACCAACTAGGAATCGACTGTTCAACAAATATGTCGAAGAAAGTGGTTGATGAATCAAACACGCAGTGAAGAGACCGTCGAATGACATCACCCTCTAGGCCGTCTCTCAACAGCAAGCCAAAACGGTAAGGATGAGTTGGGTGACATGAAGGAGAAGTGCTGCTGTGCTGAAGTTTTACGTTCCACTCAGAACCTAAATGGAAGATAATACTAATAGTAATATATAATTCAAACAAATAGATAATATTTGAATAAGGTATTAAGAAGACAAATTTCGCGAGATGATATCATCATTTCGTAGTTTCTCTCTTCAATCGCTTTACAACTGACTAACATGGTTCACAATAATAAAATAAAGATCATGACAATTACTCAGTTAAATAAAAAACAAAATTACACACTAATGACCAATCTCATTTAAATAGGTCATGTAGTCCACGGTAGGCGAAGATTGAAGTCCATTGTATTTTGTGCACACAGTTTAGGATGTATGTGATTAATCCAGAGTGCTTCTATCACCTTCAATAATCAACCTTGAATTAGAGTTGTGTGATGAAATAATTATGAAGCAGTCATTAATATTGATTTTGTGGCCTGACATTAACAAGTGTTTTCAATGGATGATGATACTGGATTTCTATTCAGAGCAACTGGACTGAGATTTTCTATATGTTTTAGTAACCATTTCGGAACATGTTCTTTTCGACGACATTGGAACATTCTGTTGGTTCTACCTATATAGGTGTCACCGCAGCTGCAGGTGAACTTGTAGATACGGTTTGAAGTAGAGTTCACAGAATTTCGTCCTTTAATCGTAGATAGAGGTGAAAAGTACAGCGAAAGACAGTAGCAAGTGGAGACGTGCAGTTGAAACCCTATGTTTCACTAGGAACCCAAGGGAACAATAATAATAACAGGGATCGAAAATGTTCGGCAAGTAAGAAAAAGAGATGCGGCGTAGAATGTGCTTTTGATGGCTGACCTAAGTGTCTTTGAGTTAGCTGTCAACTGCATAATCTGGTCACCCTTGAATGGTAGGTTCATGAATACAGATAGCTTTCTTTGGTACAGAAGCTGTCTTTTCGAGATGTGGTCTATCCTTACCGTGACAATTGATTAAGTTTACCGGATAACCATTAGCTAATAAAACTGAATGTATATTTCGAAACTCATCCATCAATGTGTCACTAGTGCATATTTTTCGTGCCCTTGAGAGCAAACATTTCAGTGGGGAACGTTTATACAGGATAGGAACAAAAGTGGTAAAATGAAGATATTGTCCACTCCATATCTGTTTACGAAAAATAGACCGTTTAATCGTTCCATCGTCTCTCCTAGTCATTGAAAATCCAAGAACCCTAATCAATTCCTACAGTAAGAATAGACCACATCTAGAAAAGACAGCTTCTACACCAAAGAAAGTCATCTGTCTTCATTGACCTACCATTCAAGGGTGAGAAATGTTGTGAACAAAAAGAACATGTTCCATAGTGGTTACAAAATCCTGTATAAAATCTCAGTGCAGTTGATCTGAATAGAAATCCAGTATCATCATCCATTGGGAAACAATTGTTAATGTCAGGCCACAAAATCAATATTAATGAGTGTTTCACAATTATTTCAATTAACTGTAGTTCAAGGTTACTGAAGGCGATGGAATCACTTTGGATTAATCACATACAGCCTAAACTGTGTATACAAAGGACAATAGACTTCAGCCTTCCTTCGCCTACCATGGACTACATGACCTATTTAAATGAGATTGGTCATTAGTGTGTAATTTTGTTTTTTATTTAACTGAGTAATTGTCATGATCTTTATTTTATTATTGTGAACCATGTTAGTCAGTTGTAAAGCGATTGAAGAGAGAAACTACGAAATGATGATATCATCTCGCGAAATTTGTCTTCTTAATGCCTTGTTCAAATCGAATAAAATAAAATAAAAACGTTACGTGATATTGTGTGAAATTTGGTAGCATAGAATTTATCTTTGTTGTAAAAAAGAATTGATTTAGAATGACAAGTGGAACAAGTGAAATAATACCGGGGACAGTTGTTCAAAGTGAGAATAGTAATAGTAACAATTGACGTAATAAGGAAGAGTATACAAATTGAATAGAAAAAATGAAAAATTGGTAGAGCTAAAATATGATTGGGGATTATCATATTTTAGCATAGAGGGTTTAAGACCATGAAAGTTGGAGGGGTTGAACGAACTTTTTCTGTACACAGAGATCTGGCTTTTCTGTTTCGATAGCCAAAGCTTCAGCAATACAGATGAGTCGGGTACGTAGGGATTTGGGTAGATTGCTCTTTGCCTTGTAGATGACTTTAAAGGCGGAGACTATAGAGATAGGGTGATCATTATCGACCAGATGTTCTATGATCGCGCTTCTTATTGCTCCACTTCCACCTCTTCGTAACCACGCAGGATACTGTTCTTGCACCCTCTTGGACAAAATTCTAGTCGAACGATCGATATACCTAGCTCCACACGAGTAGGTGAATTGATAAACGCACATAGAGTTGGTCAACATTGGGATTTTGTCCTTCAAGTTATTGAACAATAATGGTCGGCCAGTAAAAGCTATTCTCAGAGAGGCAGCAGGGAATGTTCTTTTCAGGGACTGTGATATTCTTCATTTCATGATATCGGAAGCTAGGTCCCATTTGAATTCCTAGCTCATGTAAAGTATTTTCTTGGGTATGGATGATAAGTCACGTTTTATAGGCTTTGAAGGTATATTCTTATCTATAAAACGTGGTGGAAATCCAGTTTCCATTAGGATTTTTCTCAAAAGATATAACTCAAATTTATCAAAGGGACTAATTGTTTTAAAATAGATGATAAAAATCTCTATTCACTTACTAATTGTATTAACAGATTACATATTTCAATCATTAGAATAACAATCCGATCTGTACTTCTATAATATTCACAATTCACCCATAATAAAGCCATCAAGTGTACTAGTGGTTGAATTTTTGGCTTCATCTCGTCGAAATTAATATTCTCCATATCATGTAAATATTCAATAATTGGTGTTAAAAAAGCAACGATTGTTTCCGATTCAACGATAGCTTCATTACAAAAGAAAAAAAGGTGAAATCAAAAGTACACAGAATAATAACTGTTTTAAACTTAAATAATTACGAATAGTTAAGTTTGTAAGGATGAGATTTGTTTTTACAAGTTGATCACGGAATGATATCAGGCAGAAAAGTATTGAAAACTAGAGAGTACTCGGCAGCTGTTTCATCCCTGACTCTCAATGGTTCTCTCTCTAACTGATATTAATCAATCCGTGATCAACTCGTAAAATAATTACAGTTATACGATCACTGAAATAGGAGATATTAAGAAGACAATTGCAGCAAAGAAAATTTTCTTTTCGACGAAGCCATCATCTAGGCTGTACATTCGTGTATTTATATCAAATGGATGGGAAAGTTCCAGAATAATATCCGGTTAAGGGTCAAATTAACAAAAATTAAAATTAGGAATTAGAATGTCATAATATACAGGGGGATGGATAAAACAAACAAAGTAGCATCATAATAACTAAGAAGATTGACATTGTGCAATTAGAGGTTAGAAATGTAGAAATAACAAAATAGACAGGATGTTTGGATAAGAACTAATGTGATGAATAACTGTTTATGCAATCAGGGATTAAATGTGTGGAAATAGTAAAATGACAAAATAAACACGAAGTTCGGGTATGAAAATATGGTAGTGTGAACAGGGATTAAGAAAAACTTGAAATAACATGAATAAACAGGAAGTTTAGATAAGAAAGGCGATTGGATGGTCAGTACTAAAAAAATTACCTGTTTAGGATGGCCATGGCAGGGACAGGGTTTGGGCGTATTTCTTTTGAATACAAAGAGTGGGTTTGAGCTTTTGGATAGCTAGCACCTCAGCTATGCCCAGATGTCTTGATTTCACTCCCTTTGATAGGTTTGGTTGAATCTTGTATATTACTTTGAAGGATTTTTCTAGTGGCGCTGAATGTCATGAATTGACCAGATGTTCTGTCATTGGACTGTATACATGCTTTTGGTCTCGTTTTACTAACCGGGCTGGGTAGTGTTCACGAGCACGTTTTTCAAGTCGGCGCATGGTACGGCCAACGTACTCAGCTCCACAAGAGCAAGTAAACTGGTATATGCGCGTTGAGGTGGCCCAATGCGACAGCTTGTCTTTCGCGTTCTGGCTGAACAGTTTCTTGCGGGAAAACGTCAGTCGTAGGCTCGCGGCGAAGTATGTTTTCCTAAGCGATTTGGAGAGGCGTTTGTTTCAATATCGCCTCTGAATTCTAGATTAAGCAGAAGTATTTTCTTTGGAACGGAATGGACTTGTTCAGAAGTCTTCTTACATTTGAGATTCTTGTCTATGAATCTTGGCAGGAAACCGTTTTCCATCAGGGTTTTTCGAAGATTACGCAGTTCTTCTTCAACCACTTCCTCGCAGCATATCTTCCGAATCCTCGAGGAAAGAGCGTATATCATGTTCCTCTTTCTGCCCAGAGGCAAGAAGCTTTGAAAGTTGATGAATTGTCCATTCCATGTAGGCTTTTTGTATATGGACCTTTTCAGGGAGTTGTCGGCGTTTCTTGTCAGATCACTGAAATATGTGGCGTAATAATTTAATAATAATATTTATACTTATTTGTACGTTTCAGTTTAACTTTGTAACTATTCATCCATTTTCCTTCTAGACTTCATATCATTATATCTATTATTTACAGATTATATGTTGACTTTATCCATCCTACTTGTCTTTATCCCCGCTTAATCCATAATCTGAATGCCACTCTTTATAGCTGTGTGGTGATATTATTGATAGTGTGTTGTTTCACGATGTACTTTTGCTCGAGTGAGTCAAGGTCATGCTGACCTTGGACAAAACTAATTAAAAAAATTAATTAACCGAAAATCAATCCTAAGAAGTCCTTCTAGGTGAAGATGCTGACAAAATCGAGCGGAGTCGTACGAACAGATTGAGCAAGAAACTTGGAACGTTCGCCATGCAATTCGCTCCTTTCAAATGTAAGATGATGTCACACGACAGGACTAGATGACATCGACTACTCCGAGCTTAAAGATAGGCAGGAGTCAAGCGACGGCTGAGAGTGTTGACCACTTCACTTATTTGGGGAGTGAGATCAGCCAGTGAGAGCGGGTTAATCGCTGGCGAAATCTCTGCACGACTACAGAAGGCTGGTTTGGCATATGCAAACTTACACCATCTCTGGCTTATTAGACGTGGTATCCGACTGGCTGTCGATCAAAGGGTGTGAGTACTGCTTAGCAGTAGTTCACTCTATCCTCCTTTATGCCTTTGAGTGGGACATAACCATTGGAAGTGGAAGGCAGGAAAAGCCTGACTAGTTGTCTTTGATCATAGGTGTCTGCGTTCTATCTCCCTTGCTAGGTGGTAGGTATAATAAGGTGAGCAATATTGAGGTTAGGCGTGAAGTTACATTGATTGAGGCGATGGCTCCATTTATACAAGAGTCACACTTCCATTATTTGCCACAATAATGTGAATGACAGAAACCTACTCCGCACCTTTACTAATGCTCACCAAAACATCAACTTCACTTCAGAAGTTGAATTTTACCCAATTTTCCACTTCCTGGATGTTCAACTGCTAAGATATACTGATAACTCGTTGAACAGATCCATATAAAAAAGCCTATATGGGATGGTCAGTTCATCGGTTTTCAAAGTTGTGTTCCACTATGCAGAAAGAGAAAGCTCATATAATCTCTTTCCTTGAGGATCAGGAAAGCATTTACTGAAGAGCTCACCTGAGAATAACTGCAAAATCTGCAAGGAATCTTGGTGGAAATTAGTTTCCTACCAGAACTATGCATACAAAAGAAAACTACTCAACCACTTCGACTACCACGGTAACAAATCTGTTGATATGACTTAATTTTTGCTTGTTTGTTTGCTTGCATTCTAAGTAATTAAAACTTTTGTATTCCTTTAGAACTTATGTAATCCGGTGTGTTATTTTGTTTCTATGCACACCCTGAGCACAACTCTTTGATCAAACTATTCGTGTCAACAAGTAACTCTTCTTTAACAGTCGCTTGTGACAACTCATGACTTTCGTTACTACCCTATTATATCAACATCCAATTCCTCTGGACGCTTTTTTGTATTACATAACTCCACCAAAAACTTACTAATTGTATTTTCATTAGACAAATTTAGTGTACACACACATGCAAAATAAACATATATATATTTGTGATTGTATAGCTGTGAAAACGAATTCACCGAAAGAAGACTATTCCCTGAACTACTAGTCTTCTCTCAATTGTTGTTAGAATAGAGATTTCTCATGAAATTACAAAGTGATGACATCAGAGTTGGAGGAAGGACAAAAATCACAGTGGTGTAATGTTCCACTTGGTTATGGATCTCAACAATTTGGGTGGTCAGTTTCTCCAACCAACAATGTCAGCTGACTTAACATATATGTATGTCAAACTTGGGTACTATGGTAGTATGTAAGTCCATATTAATATCCGAATTTCCATTTACGTATTTAGAAAATAACACCAGATTGAGCGAAGAAATATATTCCTTCTCAGTTAGTTCCTCATTATCGCCTGGCTCTACACTAATATATATATATTATTACATCAAAATATTTTACCAATCAAGTGGTTATTTTAGTTAATCAGTTTTAGGTATAGGGGACGGGGCCCAGTGAAATCATGAGGTTAAGGGTCATCAAAACGATGAACTAATAAATGTTAGTAACAAGATATGTAGGGTTTGAAAGGAGGGATGAAACTTAAGTACAGAATTCACGATAAGTAAATTCTTAGGCGTTAGCAGCAAGTTATTACATAATCAAGAAATCTGTAAAATAATGATAACTCAGAAGAAATTCGTAAAACAAAACAAGTTGTTATTCAAGTGTTGGTTTGTAGGGATTTGATTGGTTACAGGATTTCATCATGAGCTGACGTTGGTTAGAGAACCATTGGAAAACCAGCTAGAAGTACTGCCAGACAGCTGTTTCGTCAGCCTAGTTTGGGATTCTTCATCCCTATGCGCCCACCGGGATTCGCACCCAGGACCTTCTGGTTACAAGGCGAGCTAGTAAGCCATTGAGCCACTGGGACCCGATCCAATGGCCCATGAATTCTAACTTCTGCCAATTCATGACATAGCACGACCCCTAGCCAATGTCTTTGGTGAGTATTTGTTCTCACATCGACTTGGTGGGCTATTGGATTGGGTCCCAGTAGCTTAATGGTCTACGAGATCACCTTGCAACCAGAAGGTCCTGGGTTCGATTCCCGGTGGATGCGTACTGCTGATAAATCCCAAACTAGGCTGACGAAACAGCTGTCCAGTACTCCCAGGTTTTCCAATGGTTCTCTAACTAATGTGTCAGCTCATGATGAAATCCTGTAGAAAACAAGTCAACATAATTAGCTAAAATTGTGAAAATTTCAATCATTAACAAAGTCAAAAGATAGTTACAAAGGGATGGGGAGAATTGTTATCAAAAACTTAATAGATATTATGTAGTTGACCATGTCATAAAAGCCAAATCTTTCTGTTCAAAAGAAGTTTGTACAGCCCTTGTCTTTGCCATGGCAAACTACATAATATGTATTAATTTTTTGAAAACAATTTTCCCCCTCCTCTTGCAACTATCATTTGACTTTGTTAATTTTCACAATTTTTACAATTCTAGCTAATTCTATTAACTTGTTTGTGTTTTACGTAACTCTTCTGAGTCATCCTATTCTTTCTAATAATCATTGCTATTTTACAAATTTCTTGATTATGTAATAACTTGCTGCTAACGCCTACGAATTAACTTATCTTGAATTTCGTAATTAACTAATTCTCACCCCTCCTTCATAACTTTGATATCTATTGGTTCATTGTTTTGATGACTTTCAACGTCTTAACTTCACCCCTCCTCTTGTACCTTTTGTTTGCTGCAGACTGAATTCTATTTTAGTCAAGTTTGCAATACGACCACACCATGCTAATCGGGTCACCATCTTGGTGCACTGAGAATTGTTGCAATATTAGGATGGTTGGAGGCAATCAACAGAAAGCATGGCATGACTTAGATTTTTTATGCTTGTCAGCACTCATCAGTCAGTAAGGCGCATCTACACCTTGAAAAAACTGATGCCACCCCCCCCTCTCAGTTACAGTTCATATCACACAACACTTTAGTCAAAGAATGAACTATTCACTCTTATCATTGACCAGTAGCAGACACCAAAGAGTTATCGCATGACCCACTGGTAACCCCTTAGTTAGCAAACGTTGTAATCATCATAGTCCTACAAGAAGCGAATCATGAACTCAAACAGTAGGGTCTCTGGCCTCATCAGTCAATGAGTGATGTGGGTTTAAATTTCAGAGTGGACATCAGTTCCTTGATGACGATTGTTAACAAGCACGAAAGCAAGGTCTAGGAATTCTTTTAAATTTCAACCAACCATAGAACGGAGACTGAAGTCAATGCAAAAACTGGCGCAGAATTATGCTCTTGTCCACCCCAAGCAAAATACTAAGCCACATCATCCTGGAGAGATTCAAACAAGCCCTGGATGAAAAATTTCGACCGGGACAAGCTGGATTCATGAGAAACAAGTCATGTATTGATCAAGTCGCCACTCTACGGATTATCATTGAACGAAATTTGGAATGGCAGTCACCTCTCTATCTCAACTTCATCGACTTTGAAAAGGCCTTCGACAGCGTCAACCGAGAGGTGATTTGGCATCTACTTCGCTACTACGGGGTGCCATCGACAGTTATACATCTTATCCAGCAGTTATTTGACAGTGCTGCTTGCCAGGTAATCCACAACGGGAAAATTATGGAATCCTCCGAAGTGAGGACGGGAGTGAGGCAAGGCTGTCTACTATCACCAATGATCTTCCTGATTGCAGTAGATTGGATAATGCGACAGACAGCGGGTAATGAGGAAACAGGCATAAAATGGACTCGCACAAAAAACTTGGAGGATTTGGACTTCGCTGATGATATAAGTCTGATTTCCCACAAACTGGAAGATATGCAAGTGGAAAGCAACAAATTGGTGATAAAAGAAGCATACAGAGAGGATGGGACTTCAGGTGAACAAAGAGAAAACAGAGGTGATGGAGATTCCTGGGCAACAGCAACAGACAACAGTCAGCCAGCGTGAATGGGAGGAATCTGAAATAAGCAACCTCCTTTATCTACCCACCTGGAAGCATCGTTTCAACTACAGACGGACGAAACTGACGAGGATATCAAAGCCAGAATCGGAAAAGTAAGACAAGCTTTCATTACTCTTAAGTCTGTGTGGAGGTCAACATCACTCAGGATCAAAAATAACATCCGGATTTCCAACTCCAATGGGAAGTCAGTGCTACTCACTATACGGATCAGAGACTTGGTGCGTCATAAACAGCATCTCAAACATTTAACTAAGCCTGCCTTAACAGTCAAAAGATGAGACGAATTAAAGTCTAAATATCTACCAGAATGCGTTGGTTTTCTATAAACACTAGTCTGTAGTTTGCCTTCTTCTATTCTTTTTATCTTACAATCTAACATAGCTAATTCTCCTTGTTCATTTTCTGATTCAAATGAATTTGAATCAGAAAATGAACAAGCATCTCAAACAAACTACAGACCTTCATCAACAGCTGCCTTCGCTCAATGCTACTCAAGATCAGATGGCCAGCTAGAAAATATCAGCAACAGGGAGCGATCTCTATCAGCAAACCAACCTAGCAGGAACCGACTGTGCAACAAAAGAGCAGGAAGAAACGGAGGTGGATTGGCTGGCCATACTCTGGGGAAATCATCAAGTGACATCACTAGACAAGCCACTGCTCGAGTGGAACCCGAAAGAGAAGCGGCGAGTTGGTCATCCAAGAGTGACTTGGAGATGGTCATGTGAAGAGGAAAGGAAAGCATGTGAGCAGACTTGGAGCAGGGTGAAAAAGTTGGCAGAAAACCGAACGCAATGGAGATTTGCAACAGAAGCCCTATGTTCCTCTAGGGATTAAAGGATATAATAATAAATAATACAACCGTAGAACATAAATTCAAAGTGCACTTCAGACACTTAACTGATAGGACCCAGTCAGATACAACGTCAAAGATTTCACATAGGACATTGGTTTCTGCTGTAGTAAAAAATACTTAAGTGGGAACTATTGTGTTAGTATGATTTATGGTTAAATTCATATCAAAATAGTGTTTCCACTATTCACATATTAGCCACAAAAACAATAAATACTAAAATTATAAGAAAAAGGCAGTCTACATTCATTAAAACATACCACGAACAACTCGTTTAAAGGTTTCTTTAAATGGATTAGCATAGGCGCTATCATTCGATTCAAGAATCAATGCCATTTTCTTCACCTTATTATTGATTAACTGATCATATATATCATGCATACATGTCATTCTTTGTTCCCAAAATTCATATTCATATTTTGGTAGTGGAAATTGTCCACTTTTTATGAGTTGATCAGATTCTTGTTTTAGTATATCATCAATTTGTGCACTCCAATCAATAACAGCTGTTTCAATTGCATACATTAAACTGCCATTGACATCATCTCCACTAAATGAAATGAAAGTTTAAATAAATAGTTATACAAAGAAAGACTTTTTAAGCATATAAATATCAATGACACAAGTAAGGTTGTAAATGACTGTGAACATTGAACGTTGATTTATTGGCCTTGGTCGCTATTGACGGGCAACTCGAAGGCGCAAATGATTCAATCGTGTACAAGTTAGAAGAAGACGAAAGAATACGAATAAATGAACAGTACATTCCTTGTAAAACATTCGTTTATAGACCTTTGTACGAAATATTGACTTTAATTGCCGAATAATACAATTTCTTATTGGTCCTTTTGTTCTGGAGTTAAAGTCGATAATCATACCTAGTATAAATGTCGATTCGGAGCGTCTTTGCAAATAATAGGAACTAAGGGTAAAGTTCCTTCACAAAGGCTGTCCGGTACTATCTGATGGTTTGCAATGGTTCTCTAACTGATATCAATCCGTGGTCTAACGTGAAAAAAGTAGTGAGACTAAAGAGTAATTAAAACGTTTGTCCGACTGTCTGTCTATCTGTTTTCGACATAGAACTTTGCACCGATGTGCACCAGTTCAAGTCGCCACAATCCCTCCTTGTAACACACAAAGCAAGAGAAGAAAGTAAAAAGAAATGCATAATAGAGACAGTAAGCAGAGGTGTGAGACAAAGGAATAGCAATAACGAAGAACAATATAGTTTCATTTAAAATCATAAGTCACAAGGAGTGGATGCATCTGCGCCAGCCATTGAGACAACGATTTTGAGCCATGTCACCAATTGTTTCCAACCATTGGTTTTTACCGTCCCGAGGACCCCAACCAGTCAGGAGGTCTACACCTTCCTACGTGGCTGGCTTAAACTAACTGTTGTAGATTTCATTGACTGATGAAGCCATGTTTTGGTTTGACCACCGCTAGCTCTTTTCCAGCTTAACTCTTTGTCAGCTAACGCTGCTCGCTTTTTGTACATCAAAAACTCTACTTGACCAGCTGTTCAAACACTAAAACAAAAATACATTGAGAAATATAAGAAAATAATTCAATCACTAGTTGACGTCAGTTAGAGAACCACTGTAAGACCAGGGTGTACTACTGGACATCTGTTTCGTCCTAGTTTGGAACTCCTCATTAATGCGAGATGAGCTCATAGATCGTTCAGTCACTAGGACCCAATCCAATGGCCAGCCCATGAATTTCAACTTCTGTCAATAGGCGATATGTATAGCGCAACCGCCAGTCAGTAATATAAGCACTTGGCTGTACTCTTATCAGACTTGGCAGATCCTACTGGTTATGAATTTGTCACTGGAAATAGAGCAATAATATATCGGAGACACTACGACCCCAAGGTGCTTTATACACGACTTTCAAAATGTTATTTTCACAATCATCGAATGACAAGTTCTGTTCTGTTGAAAACTGACGAACTTACAAAATCCCACTAGACATTAGCATACATCACTTATTTCGAAATGACTACATCAAGGCTGATGAAAATCCCCACACTTTCAAAGATCGTGGTTAAGAATGCGTATAATATACATGCCATAGTAAAACAACTTTCAACCAAGTTCTTGATATTTAATTCAGTTTCGATTTCCTGTTGACTAGTTGAACCGAATTGTTCTGCCTCATTTTGTACTATTTGGGAATATAGAAAATATCCCCATTTAGACATTTAGAAAAGAGAAAGATTGAGCGAAGAAATATTTACTTTTCAATTAGATCCTCATCTCTGGCTCTACTCTAATATATATAGCATTTTAATTACAATACACAACAACTTACCAATCAAGTAGCGATATGTTTGTTAACAATAATTAGTCAGTGTCGAAATGTCAATGGGGTGATAATTAACGAAGAAAAATTAATATATATAATTAAAAGGTGGAAATGGTTACAACACGTGGATTACATAATGCATAATTTTGGAAAAATGAAGGGCAATTAAGGAATAAGCGTGTGCACAGGTTGATTACGTAACAGATTGTTAAAGAAAACAAAATAATAAATAAATAAATTTGGGAATAGTCATCAACTAGCCGGATGTGACTGCGCTCCACAGTAAGTGATTGATGGTGTTCCCACTGGGTTTAACAATAACAATAACAATTTCGCTTTATTCCAGAAACAGTACTTGTGGTACAGTGTGGAATTTTCAGCACATATCTACAATATTGCATCTAATTTCATCGTACATTTAAAAGGAGTATTATAAAAAAAATAAAATATATAAAAAAAACAAAAAACCAAAAAAAGAAACACAGAAATAACAAAAAAATGCAAATAAAAATACCAAGTAAAAAGGAAGATAAACACAAATAATGAAAAAATATTTCAGTATTGGTTAGTGGAAGCTACGATATGTGTATGCGTGGTGAACAGTAACAGCTATAATCATACAGGAAATTATGAGATGTTCTTAAAAATGTTTATAGCCAAGATGATCAGTTAATTTGATTGAACAACACTAAGCAATCATAAGATAAACATTTCAGGTTGTGTTTTTTTTTATTGTCAGCACTAATGCGGTTGTTTGTAGTGGTAGTGTGAGGAATCATGCATAATACAAAATTTTTTAAGATGGTGATAGTGGCAATAACAAACAAGATTGTCAGTTAAATAGTGCCGAACAAAGAACAACCACAAAACTAATGTTACATGATGGTTAATGACGGGACAATTTTTAATAATCATAGTGATAATATAGTCGGACCCAGTAGATGTACAAAGAAGGAATAGAATAAAGAATAAAAATGTAAGCCAATGATAATAATTTTAAGCAGCTAAGTATGTTTAAGAAGGTTGTTCACTATAGAGTACAAATAAGAGAGTGTAAGGGGGAAATAACAAGGGCCAAAATTATGTTATTAACAACAAAGCAAGTCATAGGTTTCACGCTTAACATTGTCTCTGTCACTTAGAACACGGGCCAAATATGGTATCGTTGAGTTCCTATACTTGGTTGTACGAGCATATATTATTTTGTACTGATTTCTGGTTCTACCTGATGAGATGCAAGGAGAGAGTTGGGAATAGAGGGGGTGTTGGGGGTCAGAGAGTATGGTTTTAGACCATTTCTCACATGTATTCAGATGCTTATCCACTAATGTTGTGACGAGCTGACTGAGTTTTACACCGCTAGTCCTACTAACTACCTTCAACATCCTTCTCAGGATGGTATAATCCTTTTTCAGTAACCCAGGAAAGACTAACGGGGAACAGTAAAGTAGAATAGGTAGGATACGAGAGTTGACAAATTGTGAAAGCAGAGGTTGAGGGACTCCAGTTAGTCTGAGTTTCTTAATGTAGTAGGTTAGACGAAACACTTTCTTGGAAATCATTTGGATATGAGATGACCAAGTAAGGTCGGAAGATATAACTAATCCGAGGTATTTTGCATTAGACTTTGTTTCAATTATAGTCCCCTCAATTCTACAGACATCATGAGTGCTTACTAGTGTTTGTAGATCTCGTTTATGCCTAAAGGAGAAGTCGACAGTCTGGCATTTTGAGGGATTCAGCGTTAGGCCATTTAGTTTAGACCACTGACTGATGTCCGACAGGAAGCTATTTAATTTGAAGCAGTCTGACTGAGACTTAACGGGAAGCGAAACAGTCAGGTCATCTGCATATTTGACGAAGTTGATTTCGTCTGAGAGAGGTAAGTCATGTAAGAAGAAGGAAAAGAGAAACGGCGAGAGAACAGCACCCTGAGGAACACCAGCTTCAGTAAGCAAAGGAGAGGAAGCTACACCATTATATACCGTGTACTGCATCCTATTGGAGAAGTAAGAGTGCAGCCAGTTGATAGCCCAGGACTCAGTTTGTGTAAGGCTAAGCTTGTTTAACAAAAGGCCTCTAGGTACAGAGTCAAAAGCAGATGTGTAATCAAGGAAAGTACAACGGACATACTTGGCCCCTTTGTCTAAGGAGGATACAATGTTGTGATGAAACACAGCAGCAGCATCCAAAGTACTTCTACCCTGTTTGTAAGCAAACTGCTTTGGATCGTTTGAGAAGCTTAGGGAGGGAATGAGTTTTTGTAACAGTAATTTCTCCATCAGTTTCAAAAAGGAGAGGTAATGGCAATTGGTCTAAACTTAACACTATCTCCAGAACCAGACTTGGGTACAGGGATGATTTTAATATCTTTCCACAGAGAAGGTACATTATTATTAGAAAAAGAAGTATTGAAAATGCTTGTAAGTGGGTTACTTAAAATATCAGCACATTTCTTTAAAACAATGGCAGGTATACCATCAGGGCCTAGACTCTGGGAAGGTTTAAGAGATTTCAAACATTTAAGAACATCAGAAGTATTGAAACGATGAAAGTCACTGGTCGTGTTATTAGTTAAATTGAAGGCAGAAAGGACATTTGGAGGGCGGATGAAAGATCTATTGAGAGTATTTACATCAATAGAAGAGGCAAAATTATTATGCTTACCACAACCAGTAATTTCTCTAAAAAGCTTCCATATGTTTTCTGAGGTTTTACAAGATAGTATTGTTTGATTATAAATGTTGTTTAGTCTCTTGATTTCAGATTTAATTTGGGTGTTTATCTTCTTAAGACCAGATTTATTCTTTGTCTTGTACAGCTTCTCTTTTTCTCTACGAAGTTTTTTGAGATGAGGGGAAGAAAAACGATCCATTCTTTTGAAAATTATCTGTTTTGGACAGCATATATCAAGACAGAATTTAAGATAGTCAGTCAAATTGGAAATAGTATCATCCAGTTTGTGTTCGTTGAAAAGTTCCCAGTTAGTGTCATTTAGCATACATCTTAGTTTGAGCATATTTTCTTGTGAGTAACACCTTTGCTGTGTTTTCTTGGACAGATTTGAGAAGATATTAAAGTGAGATCTGCTGTATATCTTAGGTAATATCCGAATAATACAATGATCTGAGTTCATGATAGGAGCACGTCGGCGTACTTCATATATTTCCTCATCATTAATGAACACTAGGTCAAGGGTTTTATCAAGTCGAGTAGGGAATTTAACAATATTGG